ACATTATATTTCTATTGGGCAGTGATGCTCTAGAAAATGGAATAGTTATGAGTACTCTATCATCTAGCTTATGAAAACAGGCAATGATGGTGGTAAAACAACAGATATAAATATCCCAGAAGGTGTCAAGGATTTCATCTTACAATGAAAAACATCATAAAGGTTATATCTAATACATCAGTCATTTTCCTTACATTGCAAGATACCCTGCTATGAGTTTACTTTCCTAATCTTTTTTGATTTAGTTTGCCCACTAGAGAATATTAAAAAACAATATTAAGTACTGCATTTTACTGCCTATTAGCTAAAATACTTAGACTCTGGAAGCAAATATTTCTTAGAGGAATTTTGATAATTGACCACTGTTAATTTTTTAATTTTTTTTTCTATCATGTTTCCTTTTTTCTTTTTTTTTCTTTTTTTGCAGCTGGCTGGTAAGAAGATCTAAACTCTTGAACCTGGTGTTATAATACAGGGCTCTAACCAGCTAACTGGCCAGCCCAATCGTGTTTTCTTAATATTAAATTTTTACTAGTTGTGTTAATTTGGTAAAAATCATAATTTTCATCTATAAAATGGGGATAATAAAAGTTAGTATGCATGTATGTTGTATTAAATGAGGTAAGTGAATGTGCTCTGTAAATGCCTTTCAATATAAACAGCAAGGCATTGTGTTAGGAATTGTAGGAGAGAAAGATGGTTAAGATCTCTTTCTCAACAGAGAGCAAGTGATAAACGTGTGTTAAAACAATTGGACTTCAGCGCAAGGTGACTCAGACACTCAGATGAGGTGCTACATTTATACTATGTGAGCAAAGTAGAAAGAATGATTGATGGGCCGAGCCCGTGGCGCACTCGGGAGAGTGCGGCGCTGGGAGCACAGCAGCGCTCCCTGCTGCGGGTTCGGATCCTATATAGGGATGGCCGGTGCGCTCACTGGCTGAGCGCGGTGCGGCTGGTCTCAAAAAGGACAAAAAAAAAAAAAAAGAGGGATTGATTCTACCTGGGTAGTCACATTTGAGCAAGGTCTCAATAGACAAGGGTATAGGGGTGAGTGGGTGGGTAGGCAGGCATTTTAGATTTTGGGGAAAGAAAACTTCATGGTATGTATTTGACGTTCCTCTTAATTTTTTTTTTTTTTTGTCTTTTTTCGTGTCCGGCAACAGATCGCAACCCTCAGTGTCGCGCCCGTACTGGACCGGGACCGGCAATGGGATCGCAACCCTTGGCGCTGCGCCCGCACCTCGCTCAGCCAGTGAGCGGGAACCGGTCTGTATGTGGGATCCGAACCCTCGGCGGGAGCGCCGCCGCGCTCCCAAGTGGCGCACTGTAGCAGTGTGCCACCGGGCCGGCCCCAGACGTTCCTTTTAATTTAAGTATTCATGGCTTTTAATATATTACGATTGGCTCTATGTTGCCTCACGTGTACCTCAGTGGAGCATCTGCCAGCCTGGGATGAGAGTTCCTCATGTATAGGGACTGCCATATTCATCTGTGTGTACCCATTGTCCAGCACAGAACCTGGCAAAAGGTTCAGTAGGTATTTGATGAGTGAATAAATGAGCAAGAATGGTGTCATTTAGAAGATAGTGTATCATTTTCTTATTTTCTAGTTCAAAATATAATATCTTTAAGGATGTGTTTGAATTTCTAGATCTTTATCACATACTTAGAGATATATTTGCTGATAGTTGTGCATTTACATTGTGCGAGAGGCAGGTTCTTATTCTCATGTGAAGAACTGATCTGAAGTCATGGAGCTTTAGTTAGTTACCTGCTGCTACAGAGGACCCATACTCCACCTCCCAGTGACCATCACATTCCTGCGGGTTTTTAGCACAACTTCCCATGGGGCCCCATTCAGTGAAATATATAGTTGGCTTCGCTTCTAGGAAAAAAAAATGACGCTTTGCCTGCCAACTTTTGGCTGCTGGGAATGGAATGTTATTCTGCAGGGGAGGAAGCATGATGGAAGTGTTCTACCTACAGGAAATCTAATATTTGCTCTGCAGTAAAGCATACGAAAAATTGAAAGAAAGGAAGCAAAGGAAGAGGCTTATTATCCAGAAGCTCACTTTCTGTGAGATTTCCTCCCCCCGCATTCTGTTATACAATCATTACATTTTTTTGTTTTTTTAATTTAATTTAATTTTATTATTATGAATATTCATGAGATACAAATTACCAGAAATTGCTTTTATACCCTTTTTTTGTTCCCACCCAGGTGTCCCCCAACCCCCCCCCCACTCCGCTTTGCAGCAATCATTACGTTTTAATGTTTCTGTCTAACTGGTCATTTGCTTTTATATTGGGATCCATTTGAATCCCTTTTATATATTGGAATCCACTATGAATACCATTGTCAGACTCACTGAAAAAAACAAATGAAGAAAAAGGGAGAAAATTTTTTTATTTTACTCTTCCCATCATTTTGAGAAAGGAAGTCAGAAAAGCTGTATTCTCTGCATACTCCCTTCCCCCTCTACCCATTCATAATGATTTTTATCAGTGGACTAATTATACTATGGATTTTACAATTAGAATCATAAATAGGAGCCATTCTTTGTGTAACTGACTTCCCCCCCATCCCCCCGCCCCCGGGAATAATACAGCTTTTATGCAGAGAATACTTGCAAAAACTTACTACCTACAAAGCTGAATATATTTTGCCCTTACCAGGAACACAAAGGGTTAAATTAAAGGTTCTCTCAAGATCTGGATGAAAAGAGGAAAGGCTGGGCCCCGTAGTTTTTCCCTGTAGGCATTCATTATTTTGCACCCAGTGACCTTTTCCTTGTCCTCGTGGTTAGCTCCTTTCATACAACTCCGGGATTTGGTCTGAGTTTTGACCACCACTGTGAATTTTTAATTATTTGGCAGGGAGAGCTTTATTGGATGAAGCTCTTCTAATTCAGACACATTTTGACATGGCCTAAAAATCTATTCAATAAGTAATAAGTGCACCCTGTTTTTGAGCTTTATGAGGGTTATGGATGTGTTAAGGCTCAGGGTTTTTTTTTTTTTTTTAAATTATTTTTTAATTTTTTTTTTCCTTTTTGTCTTTTTTACTGACCGGCAATGGGATCCCGGCCATCCCTATGTAGGATCTGAACCTGCGGCGGGAGCGCTGCTGCGCTCCCAGCGCTGCACTCTCCCGAGTGCGCCACGGGCTCGGCCCTTAAAAGGAATTTTTTTTTTTCCTTTTTGTCTTTTTTACTGACCGGCAATGGGATCGCAACCCTCAGTGTTGCACCCACACCACGCTCAGCCAGTGAGCGGGAATCGGTCTCCACATGGGATCCGAACCCTCGGCGGGAGCGCCGCTGCGCTCCCAAGCGGTGCACTCTCCAGTGCGCCACCGGGCTGGCCCCAAGGCTCAGGGTTTTGATGGGAATTAGGAATGGTTTAAACTCAGGGTTACAGAGAGAGAGTTGAGAGTGAGGGCTGCAGTAAGTTTAGCTCGGATGGAGGAAGGGCTGGTGATATCTGTGGCAAACCCTCCCTCTCTTCCATAGTTTTGTATTTGGGCCCCACAAGTTACCCAGATTATGGTTGACAAATTTAAGAATAATACTGCAAATTTTAGTAAAACGAGTCATATTTTTGAAGGAAAATGAAGCCAAATAAAGACTCGGTACATAAAAAGTCCCTTTAAAATCTCCACACAACTTTCTACAGTTCAGTTTCTTTCTCATTCTTTTTCTCCTCTCCTGTGACTTTGGGAAAGTTGCTTTAACCTCTCCAGGCCTCAGTTCCTTCTTTTGTTTTTTTAAAATAAAGGGTTTGGACTAATCTTTAAGGTTAATTTTAGCTCTAAAACATTTTCATTTAATACCCCATTCACTAATTAAATTGCTTTTTTCAAGCACACTATAATGCATGATAAATTTTTCCTTATTTAAAAAAATGCGTAATTACCAGTTTTCGAGTATAGGCTTACCTATGTTTTTATTGTAGTGTACACACCATGCAGTGTACGCATCATGCAGACCTTTGGGAATATAACCTTCAATTTCCGCATTGTAAATGAAAGGTCACATAGTTTAAACCACTTTGAAGTCAGTGAGACCTGAACTCAAATCCTTGGCTCTGGCAAGTACTGGCTTTCTGGCTTTAGCAAATGACTTAAAATTGCCAAGCCTCAATTTCCTCGTTTGTAATGTGGGGATAATGTGAGAAATGCCGTCACCCATCCAAAGCCAAAGGATGGACACGGAGACATGAGGTACAGCGAAGCGAGACTTAAATTACTGCCTTGAAAGGTTCGGGTGTCTGACGGGCAGGCACACGGAAAAGGGCTGTAGCAAGCAATTTATTTCCTAGTATGCAAGTCCCTGCCTCCGCCTCCTCATTGGTCAGGGTGGACAATCCTCCCGGATGACGTCTAAGAGTATCCCAATTTACTACCCTCTTGTAGGAAATTTCTTTGTCTGAGGGCTCAGGACAAGCCCTTGAAAAAGGTCCACCCAAAACCCTGTGTAAGGAGAAACACTAGGAAATGAAGAGAACAATAAAGGGCTATTAACTCATTAAAATCTTGAGGAGAACTTTATCCATTTGAGGCAAACAATTAAGGGCTGGTAACTCAGCATCTGAAGGAGAACTTTTATCTATTCAGCAACCCCCAGGAATGGGCTGGACCAGTCAGACAACTTTTGGGCTGGGCCTGAATTATATCTGAAAATGAATCACTTAGATTATTTTCTTACAGATAACACTGTATTTTATAAAGTTCTTGTGAGAATTAAATGAGATATTGCATGTAAAGTGCTTAGCATAGAGCCTGGCCTATAGGAAACATGCAGTATATGTTACATAGTGCTGCTTTATGAAACTGTGTCCCAGATTCTATCCAACCAACATACAAACACAATTTATGATGTAATCTTTTATATTGTAAGTCAATGACTATTTCGCTCAATAAACATTTATTGAATGAATGAATTAATGACCAGAATGTTTTCCTGATGGAAACTGACAAAATATTTTTCTCTTTGCAGATCTTATATTGCACTTTAAACACACCTAAAGTTGACATGGGAAAGCTCTTAGGAGGACACATAGGTCTGGAAGATTTCATATTTGCCCATGTGAAAGGAATCAGAAAAGAAGTGAATGTGTATAAATCTGAGGATTCACTTGGGCTCACTATTACGGATAATGGTGTTGGCTATGCTTTTATAAAGGTAAGTTTAGAAAAAAATTACAGTATGACCTAATTGAGTGTAACATAAAACTCTACCAGGTCAAAGAAAGTTAGAAATGATCTTTGGAGTGAGAGCCGGCTCCACAGGGATGCATGGACTGGTAATGTTTCACTTTCTTTTAAAGTATGTTCAAAGACATCTGTTTTTATTTACCCTTTCCTTGAATTTCTTCTCCTCAGTTTAAACTTCTCTAGAATTTAGAACTTACACTGGAAAGGAAAAGTCTGGCCCTGGTTCCGACTCATTATCCATCTAGTAGGCTTTTCCAGATCTGTAGCTCTAGCATCTGAGGACTTCCATTGAATTAGTGTTACTTCAAAAATGCTCTTCAAACAGAACTATGGTTATTGCAAAGGGGGGAGGGGGAGGGGGTCTAGGGAGAAATTGGTTAATGGAGACAAAGAATGAGTACATTTTTTAATGACAAATATGCCAACTATCCTGATTTGATGATCACATATCGTACACAAATACTGATAGTCAGCTCTATACCCCACAAATATATATAATCAATTATGTTTCAATTAAAAAAAATAAGAATGCTCTTCACAATTTTCCAAACTACGATTCCCTTATCTTTTTATTTATTTTTGGCGAAGGGCTGGTACAGGGATCTGAACCCTCTATCTTGGTGTAATCAGCACCATGCTCTCCCAAGTGAGCTAACTGGCCACCTAATTCCTTTATCTTAGTACAAAGAGAGCAATGTAGAGCTACAAAGGCAGGAGAAAGAAGTTTGAAATGCTATAAAAATTATAAGAACTGAGGAGTGGTTAAAAAAAAAAGGTAGACTCATCTCTTAAAAATAACAATTCTATTATTGTAGTAAGTAGTTTTAGTAATAACAGCTGACTTATTTGGAGTGCTTACCATGTACTAGTGCTTTACCACTTGGCATATATTTTTTCATTTAATCCTGATTTTATTGATATTATGTTTTTTCTTTTAATTTTCTTATTGAGGTATAACTTTTTTTTTTGGCGGCTGGCTGGTGTAGGGAGGTATAACCAATTTTTAATGTATAGCTTAATGAATGTTTACATACTTACACCTGTGTAACCACCACCAAGATCAGGGGAAATTGCATTTCTTCCACCCAGAAGGCTCCCTTGTGCTCCTTCCCTGTCAATACTTTCATCCCAAAGTAGCTACTATTCTGACCTCTGTCATCATTTGCTTGTTCTTGAACTTCATATAATCATACATTATGTACTCTATTTCTGGCTTTTTTTTTGCTTAACATGATGTCAATGAGACCCCTATTTTACAGATGTAGAAACAGATAAGAAAAGTTAAGTAGATTGCCCAAAGTTATACAGCTGGACAAATTCAGGATTTGAATCAGGATTGACTCTAGATCTGGATGTCCTACACACTGAGCTAAGAATTAGTGATAGACTTCATGCAGCAGAGCATGTTTTATGCCTTTATTTTGTCTGAATCCTGATTTGCTGATGCATTGTCATCATTAAAGAAACAGTTTTGGGGAAGTTATCTTCTTAACTGTAGATAGTACTTTAATGTCCCACTTGATAGAATGGCTATTTTTAGCTCTGCAAAAGATACGACTGTGCTGAAGGTTGAATGGGTGACCAAATGGAAAATCTGGGTGTGGGGAAAGTCATGTGGGATTATCTGAGGGAAGCTCAGGACATGAGGCACACGCAGCAGTGCTTTTCTAATGTCAGCAGAGAAGGGCTTGGATGTTGTGCAAACATGTGTGGATTATTTAGATCTTAGCCTCTGACGTGCAGAGTTTGTGTTTCTGTTTTTTTTTTTTTAATGCTTTGTCGGACATGTGCCTGCCTGCAAGTACTAGTTACTAGCTCTGTGGAACAGGGCATGGTAGCAAAGGAGAAGGTGGAGCATAATCTAAACTGCCAATATAGTTCAGCTTAGAAGAGAGATGCGTATCATACTGTGTACATGATTGATAATTTTTTTTAATTGAGTGGGGGGGATAATTTCAAACTTATGGAAAGATTGCAATAATAATACAAAGAACTCCTGCATATCATTACCAAATCTCCAATTTTTACCATTTGCCACATTTGCTTTATTGTTCTCTCATATATATATATATATATATATATATATATATGATAGAGTACTTGAGAAAGTTTGTGGAAAAATAGAATGAAGGGTAATATGAATATTTTCATGAACTTTTTGAAGTACCTTCATATATCGCCCTTACCTCTTAATACTTCCCCGTGTAATTACTAAGAATAAGGACATTCTCTTGTACATAACTACAGTGTACTTATGAAATTCGTAAAATCTAATAATGATATAATGCTTTAATCTGTAGTCCATATTGCAGTTTTGTCAGTTGTCCTAATAGTGTCCATTTCTTTTCCCCCAGTACAGGTTCATTCCAGGATTATGCATTTCATTTAGTGGTCATGTCTTTTTAGTCTTCTTTAATCTAGAATAGTTCCTCAGCCTTTTATAGGATGTCCCTTAATTTGGATTTTTCTGATGTTTTTGCATGTTGAGACACAGGTTGTACATTTTGGGCAGGAGAATTACATAAGTAATGCTGTGTCCTTCTTAGTGTACCACATTAGAAGGTACGTGATGTTGGTTTGTCTAATTATTTGTGACATTCCTTTTTGTCACTTGTCTAAGGTAGGGTCCACCAGTCTTTTTCACTGCAAAGTTATTATATTTTCTTTTGCAATTAATAAGTGATTGTGGGGAGATACTTTGATATTATGAAAATATCCTGTTTCCTTACTTATATCCCACAGATACAGCATCTGCTGGAGTCTTGCCTAAATAAATTTTTCCTATAATCATTGCAAAATGATGATTTTTCTAATTCCATCATTCCTTATATGTTTATAAGGAAGCATTTTATTTAAAAATCATTCCCCTTTATTTACTTATTTAGTATCAGCATGGACATGAGATTTCTTCTTTTACTCAGTGGGTTATAATCTATTACTATCATTCGTTTTGATGCCTAAATTTTCTGGGATTTGGCCAAATTTTCAGGAATCCCTTTAAGCTGGTTCCTGTGTCCTTTTGACTTGGCTCCCATCATTTTATTGAGCAATTCCTTATTTTTTGGCAAAATAAGATGTTTTAGGTTCATCTTATGTCTTCTTTTCCCTGGGGCTGGAATCAAACCATTTCTCTAAGAAACTCTTTTTTTTTTTTTTTGACGGGGATTGGATATTTCAAAACCAAGGTGTGCTCATTCATTGCTATTGGAGTGGCATTATTTCTAGGTCCTTTCAGTGGTAGGATTGATGTTTTTAAGAAATGTTTATTAGAATGTCTAATGTTTATTAGAAGTTATGAATTCATAATTATGCCTCTAATTCTTATTCTTCCCCACAAGGTTCTTCCTTGGCTTCCATCAAAATATTTACTTTCATAATCATTAAAGTATTTACTCATTTGCTTAGTCCTATGATATCTTTAGAATAGTTTTAGAATTGCTAATCCATAATACTATGAAGAAACCTAAGAAGAGTTCAAAATTTATGTGCACTTCATTTTGTCTTCAGACTAAATATATATATAGAATCAAAGTACTGTGTTCAAAAGTTACTTGGAATAGTTCTGTCCTGCCCCCTGCCCCACCCCCACCCTGGGTGATTATTCATTTGCAATACTGTTGAGTCCATTGCTTCTGTTGGAGTTTTTTCCTCATCCATGTTGATTTAATTTTATTTTCTGAATATGTAGAATGTAAACATGATTCAAAAAGTCAAAACTATATTAAAAGACAAATTCAGAGATGTGCCACTCCTTCTCCTATTCCTCCTATCCCATTATCCTCTTCTCCCCCTCCTTAGTGGTAATCAGTTTCTGATTTATCCTTCCTATGCTTCTTTTTGCCAAAATAAGCAGGAAAAAAAAAATGTTCGACGAATTTGCATGTCATTCTTGTGTGGGGACCGTCCTAATCTTTGTATGGTCCCAATTTTAATGTATTTGCTGCTGAAGTGAGTACTTGATATGCTTTTAACAGTGGCTAGAAATAAGAGCACGTGAAAGTAAGAGTAGGACAGTGTAGTAGAGATTCAAATAATTAGGCCAGCCCGTGGCTCACTCGGTAGAGTGTGGTGCTGATAACACCAAGGCCACAGGTTCGGATCTATATAAGGATGGCCGGTTTGCTCACTGGCTGAGCGTGGTGCTGACAACACCAAGCCAAGGGTTGAGATCCCCTTACCAGTCATCTTTAAAAAAAAAAAACAAAAAACAAGTAATGGTGAGGCAGGAGTCTGTGATTAGGGAGGCAGTGTGGTGTGATACACCGGAGCATGGTCTTTAGAATCAGACAGGCTTTCGTTCACTTATTTACTAGCTGTGTGACCTTGGAGAAGTTCTTGAACCTTTCTGAGTCTTCTCTCAAATGGGAATATTATCATCTACTTTATAGGGTTAGTTGGGGTATAAATATAATGACACATAAAATGCCCGACAGTGCTCATGATTGATAGCTAATACTTAAATAATAATAGCAGTAATAAATCATTACATAATTAGGAGAGAGATCAATGGCAGAGAAGTGCATTTTATAGTTCTGCATGGTTCTCACAGATCAAGTTTTCAGATGAAAAGACAATAGACTTAAACGTTCATGATTTTTAGTATCCAAGTCTCAACATTTCCCAGGACAAAAAATATATAAACATAAAATTCAGAGCATACTTATGACAAAACCTATAAATTTCTAGTATAGCTTAAGATGGGAGTTGGCAAACATTTTTTCTAAAGAGCCAGATAGTGTTTTGTGCTTTGTGAGTCATACAGTCTCTGTTGCAACTACTCAGCTAAGCCACTGTAGCATGAAAACAGCCACGACACTTAAATGAATGAGCATGGATGTTTCCCAGTAAGAACTTATTTACGGATACTGTAATATGAATTTCATATAATTTTCATGTCACAAATATTCTGTAAATTTTTTCAACTATTCAAAAAGGTAAAAACTGTTCATAACTCTTGGGTCATATAGAAATAGGTGGTGGCCTGGATTTGATCTGTGAGCCATAGTTTGCTGATTGCAGGTTTAAGGGAAGAGAGTTGTACTTTTAGATTCAAAATAAAAATAAGAGTTTATAACATGCAATTAGGAAATGAGGTTAAGGTTAAAGTTATTATTAAAAAACAAACCTAAATTCATTTTTGATTGAAATAGTTTGAATAACTACAAAACTGTCGTATTTCAGTATACCTCATATAGAAATCTTTATGATTTAGCATACTTTTACTTTAGTAGAACCAAATTAATCACATTTTAGAGTGCTCATCATTCTGAGAAATATGGTACTCATAGCTTGTATTTCTAACGTTTTGCTTATTCAATTGTCCAAATTAAGAATTAGCAAAGCTGGAAATGTAGGAAGTGAAGTGGGTGGATTCTAGGATGGGAGCTGGGGTCTATGAGCAGAGGCCTGTAAAGCCAGAATAGAAGAGGGGATTTGAGAAAATAGTTAATGTTTGAGATCTGGAGGCCATGGTATTGATGAGGAACAGCTTTAGTAGATATAAGGAATGGAAAGTGGAAAGATAGGGGTTGTTGTAAAGTGAAATTTCAGAGTTCAAAGGTGACAGATCATTTAGTAGTTATAAACTAAAACCTTGCACTTGGGATCAGAATACCTTGGATGCTACATCTGACTTTTTTTTCTTTCTAAAATTTTTATAATTGCATCACCTCTGTTTGAGACCCAGTTCTGTTTATCAGCTGTGTTTCTTGGCCAAACCATGTAATCATTGTGCCTTGAGTTCCTCATTTATTTAATGAAATAATATTCCTCTCCTAGGCTTATTGTGAGGACTAAATCAGTTATTTATAATTGTTGTATAAATGTTAGTTTGTTATTATGAGCAAGGTTTGAGGACAGTGCTGTTGGAAGAATCAGCAGCACAGATCTCAAAGTTGCTGACTACAGCGGCAGGACATGTAGCTGAAACAACCTTGAGTGTGGTGCTTAAGATGTCAGGAAGGGTGGAATGCCAACCTCGAGTCTAGCTGATGTCTGTGATGGGAAGGCAGGGTTCTCTAAATATATGAGATGAATTTAATAGAAGGTACCATAATAATCTAAAATGGTTTGGAATCTGTATGTTTAATAATGTAAATCCTATCTTCCAAAAAATATTTAAGTCTTCTATGCCTTTTGTGGCATCAAGCTCCAAAACCAGATGACAGAAAGTTCCTGTTACATAGAATAATATAAGAGACTCAGTAGATATAAGTATAGAATTAATGCCTCTCTCTTTCTTCTAGTCCTTTGGGCCTGATTAGTACTTTTGGTAACATTATTAATCTTTTCAAGTTATTGTATGATTATCAAAGTACATTAAATTTCAGAAACTTGTCTGCATTGCTACCTCATTCTTTATTCTACCCATTTACGAGGCTAATGCTGAGGTAACCCATAAAATATGTAATCAGTGTCTCTGACTTTGCTTCTATATCTGTTCATCTTCTGGTGTTGTTCTTGAAGCATTTAAAAAAATTTTTAAGGGCCGGCCCGGTGGCGCACTGCTATAGTGTGCTGCTTGCTCCCGCCGAGGGTTCGGATCCCACATACAGACCGGTTCCCGCTCACTGGCTGAGTGAGGTGCAGGCGCAGCACCGAGGGTTGCGATCCTGTTGCCGGTCCTGGTCCGGTACGGGCGCGACACTGAGGGTTGCGATCCGTTGCCGGACACGAAAAAAGACAAAAAGGAAAAAAAAAAATTTTTAAGATCGACACATAATAATTGTGTACATTTATGGGGTATGGTATGATGTCTTGATGTATACATTATAGAAAAATTCAATTAAGCAAATTAATGTGTCTATCACCTAATCAATTTATCTTTTTTTTTGTGATGAGAATGTTAAAAATCTATTTTAGCAATTTTTAAATATACAACACATTATTATTATTAACTGTGGTTACCATGCAGTACAATAGATTTCTAAAACTTACTCCTCCAGTTTAACTGAAAATTTATACCCTTTAATCAACATCTTTCCTTTCCCCATCTCTCCCTACCCTCAGCCTCTGGTAACCACCCTTCTACTCTTTCTATGAAATTGACATTTTTTAGATTCCACATATGTGAGATGATACAGTATTTGTCTTTCTGTGCCTCAAGTTTCTTATAGTGATTTTCCCGTCTCTTCATTACAGATCCTTATCTGCTGCCTCTGATAATTATATATGCTTTGACTTTTCTCTTGGCCACCTGTATTCTCACGCTGCTGCCTGCTCTGACATCTGGTAACTGCCTTTCTCCCTCTGTCTGGGCACCCTTCTAGTGACCTTTACAGCTACTTGGCAACCCTAGATTTCTGTTACTCTGACCTTTAATTCACTGGTTAGATTCATACATGTCTTTAAAGTCTTTCACTTCATTAATATTATATAATGCTTATTCTAAATAAAATTATAACAATAAGTCTTAGACTAAAAAATATGTGGTGGGACACTGAAATTTGTTGGCATAGTTGATTAAAGAAAAAATATGTTCATGATGAATTCTTGAATTAGAATAAAAATTAGAATAAAAATTAAGAAAAAAGTAAGTTAAATATAGGCTTCAGATTCTTTAAAGGCTTAAGAATGGTTATATAACAGAATATTTAATGTTTTTTCTCTTCTTTAGACTTGTTTAATCTTGCTTATTTTTCTATGACAGTTTAGAAACTAGTCGAACTGAGTGGTATGTTGTGGTTACCATTGTTTCTTTTAGCTCTCTAAGACTAATATGGATTTCTAATAAAATAATGTCAATTATGAAATTTATGGTTTGTTTGCTTTATAATTAACTATTTGTAATGATAAATAATGGGGTCTGTTTAAATTGGCATTATCATGTCATTTGCATAGATAATGTTAACAGTTACTATTACAATGAACATAGCAATATTCTTAAAATATGGGGGTAAAAAATAAATTGTGAGTTTTGGTATATAATAATGCAACTTAAAAATTAAAAATGCTCAGGTTAGTCTTCTACAACTTTTTTTTTTTTTTTAGTGACAATATTGTGGAGATGCTAGGGCACATGAGATAAGTTTTCTCTTAACTCTTGAACACAGTGATCAATTGCCCTGATATTCAGAAGATGTTAGATACTTATACCTGGCAAGGGTGGGGAATACACATACTTTTATTACACAATAGCAGCAGCCCCTAGTTTTTCTATCCTATCATTTCCATGAAGGATTTGTCTCCTAAGGCAGATTGTAGCCTTCATTTTGCCCCATTCTTCAGTACTGTTGAAGTACTTTTGTACATCTTCTGCAAAGTTTTGTGGAGCTCCTGTGCCTAAAATCCTTTCAGAAATTCTTGGTGCCATCTTAAGAGTCTTAGACCCCATTTTGAGACTCTGCAACATAGATGTGTTGTAGAGAAGTAAGATAGATTTAAGAAAGAGCAACTTGAATTTTCTCTTGGGTCTTAAGTTCTCTTTATCTAAAATACATAAATGAAAAAGGATAGTATAAAATCATCCTTACTGATTCTCAAAATGGTAACCACACTTATTTCTTACCATGTATTAATCTTCTCATCTCTTACCGTTCTTTGCGTCTTTGCATTTGTAACTAAGGTTTAAGAAAATGTAGCCAGTAGAAAAAGCTGAAGCTCTATTCTTATGTAATGGGTTTTATGTCGAAATGATGCCACAATCATTTATGGAGGGACTTTTTTATGTAGGCATTGTGCTAGGCACAGGACAGACAGTGGTGAGTAAGACCAGCTCTGTCCCCAAGGAAATTACAGTTTAGTAATGGAGACTGAGAGGTAAAGGAGCAATTGAATTGAACAATTGTATGTTGAATCTGGCAATTTATTTGATCTTCCCAAGCCTCAATCTTCCTGATCCATGACATGAGAGTCTCATAAAGTTGTTAGAATGAAATGAAATAGCAAATGTAAAGTGCTAAGCTTAGACCTCAGCATATATAGCAAAAAATATTTAGAAGCGTGAGAGTGGCACCTTACTCATCCTTGAAGGGAGTGGGTTGGAGGATGTCAGGAAAAGCTTCCCTGAGGAGGTGGTGGTTCTGACTAGGAGCTGAATTCTGAATGATAAGGAAAGGAAGGTGAAGAGTGTTGGAGGTAAGGTGGTTGTTAGTTTTGTTGCTTAGTTTTCCATTTTAACTGAACATTGAATTGCATTGCTAATATGCCAATAGATTGTATATAGATAATATCTCAAGTGGATGAAAAATAATGTTAATTTTCTTTCTTTCAGAGAATTAAAGATGGTGGCATTATTGACTCAATTAAAACAATCTGTGTGGGGGATCATATTGAATCCATAAATGGAGAAAACGTCACTGGGTGGCGTCACTATGATGTTGCTAAGAAGTTAAGGGAATTAAAGAAAGAAGAACTCTTTACCATGAAGTTAATAGAACCTAGGAAGGCATTTGGTAAGTTGGTGTGTGTGTGTGTGTGTGTGTGTGTGTGTGTGTGTGTGTGTGTGATGTTCCCTTCCCTGGTTTATCTTTCTACAGGAAATGAGTGCTATGATGTGGTGCCATATGCTTTTAGTATATCTCCTTATGTAACACATGAGTTAAGAACAAAGAAAATGATAGATAGCACTACTTATAAGGAAAGCAACTACTGAAGGGTGAAAAAAAGGAAAAATTGCCTTGTACAAGGACATTTTCTGAACATTTGGAATTACAGAGTCTTATGTTTAGCGATTGTATTTGATGTGGTCGTTCCAGTCTCTGAGAACAGCACATTGTATTGTTTTCATTTTGCTGAGTGGTAAGATTTTTGATTGAGCTCTTTAAACCATAATAACTATTGTTCATGAACCTCAGCAGCAAAAATTCTAGTTACACACAGAATTGGTATTTAAAATAGTTATCTAGTCTATTTTAAAGACCTACTTCACCAATACTTTTTCACTCCACTGGCATTTTGAATTTGGCAGTGTGGGAGGGTATGAATTTACTTCCACTGTGGTGTGACATCTGTACTTGCTTGGTTTAAGTCATGGCAGCTGTATTCCAACTGTTGTCAACTCCCTAAGGCCTCCTCATCTCATCTACAGGAAAGTGTGCCAACTTCTCTCTTGGTACCCAGCACTATTTTAATAAGCCACATGAAGGCCTAGCGTTCATCAGGGTTAAAATATCTTTAGCAGAATCGTTCCAGGCCGGCCCTTACTCATCCATGACCCCACCCTGTGTTTTTTCCTTTGCTCACGGAACATAAATATTCCTTCTATTTTGTCTCTAATGCTATTTTCTCAGGGCAGTTAATGAAAATGATGGGAGAGTGCAGTGATCTGAGGAATTACATTTTCTGTCTCTTAGCAAGTGACAGATCTCAGCCATATGAAATTAAAAACTTTTCTCTGTTCCCACATGATTCTGTGCCATTGAATAGAAATACAGTGTAGGTTATATTACTTGTGGTGGACAGAGTTTCACAGACTGTAAGAAAAGGATGCCTTGTGCCAGCACTCGTCCTGGAGGGACGGCTCTAGGAACCACTGCTGTAGATGCTGTGATTCTGCCTGCTGCATTGCAGCGTCCAAGTTCACTTTTCACAGGGGAAGGCAAGCAGCACTCAGGTTTCTATGCTGCAGCTCCTTTTGAAATGGCTGTGTTTGTTAGCCCAGCTCCCCAGATAGCATGATATATAAACTGATAGGGTGTAGGTGGTTTGAAATATTCTTATTTGATTTAGATTCTTTGTAAATCAAAGCCATTCTCTTAGTATAACTCAAGGAATATAACTTTTCTACATTTATCTCCACCTCATTAATCCATTTTCCAGAGTTAATCTTTTCCTATTTTTCCCTGTTGTCTGCATCTAAATCTTTGTCCCTGTGTCTTTGTAGAAAGTTGCCAATATACCTTAATTTGAAGGCTAGGTTGATGATAGTCTGGAATGTTAGAGATCATTGTATTTGTTCCATGATTAGATTTTTGCCTTCAGTATCAGAGAGACATGTGTAATAGTTGATATACTTCACTGTGTTATTGTCCTAGCTACTGTGGAACATGCTCTATGTTGCCTCATGAAATTCATGCACACATTTGAAAAGCATCCTGGGTAGGATTTTCCTATAGAAGTATATTACCTCAGCACCCCAAATTCTGGTGGTGCTGTGGGTTAGGATTCCTGGAGATTGATTTTGGAGCAATGGTGGGTTTTTATTTTCCAAGGTTTCTATGGAAGTTTAACTCAAACTGCTGGTCTGTGTGCATTTTCCACTCCATGGGTTGATCCTTGACTCTGGGCCCTTGCCTGGGGGACTCTCTTTTAGAAGCCTTGCTGCTCTTCCCATCCTCCAGCTCTTAATTTTGCTGTTTATCTTTTTACCTGTGGGATAAAGGCAAAGCTAGTTTGTTCCTCATCCTTTGGTTTCATCTCATTACTTAGCTCTTTGCCATGGAGGGAGTATATATCAGGAGGTACTTACTCTTTTCAATAATCATTGATTCAGGGCCAAGAGTTCAAATTTCATAGTCTTTTATGATAATCTGACTCTTTGTCATCTTGGACTCCTACCAGGAGAAAGGGTCAGTCTAAGTACGGCAGCATTTTCTCTGCGTTCAGAAGGGTTACATAGGCTGAAACTAAGTCAGTTCTAGGATCTTATCGAAAGCTGTCAGAAATGGCCATACACTCTAGTATTTTGACATTTTCCTACCAATTTCCCTAAATGTTTAGCCTAGAGAGGTATGTGGACTATATCCCTAAATACTATAGGAAATGAAATAGTTGGCTGCTTTGCAAATAGCATAGCAAGAGTTGTGAGCACAACTTCTCTGTAGTTGCAAATCCTTAGGGAATCCTTATTGCCCGCTCCCATTAGCCACGTCCCACCTCCAGGGGCCATTATATGTTTCAAATAAATATTACTACACATAATAAAATACTACACATAATAAACACTGCTTAATTTAAGGAAAGGGATTTTATTTATTGGAAGGCAACCAGGTAGGTCTCAGAAACAGAGTTGATCAAGACATGGGAAGGTCAGGAACCAAGGCTGTTTCAGGGATATGTGTACCAGGAATCTTCAAGTCACTGACTTAACTGACTCCCTTCAATTATTTTTTATGTTTATATCACTCCACTCGGGATTCAAATGCCTGGGACAGAGGGGAAAACTGATTAGGTCATGTGCCTATCTTGATAGTAGGGAAGGCAGGCTATATGATTGAAAGGCCTACCAAAATCACACAGAACAGTGAGGGGGAAGTTTCCTTTTGGGCAGGAAAAAGGTAGCAGATGTCCATTTTACCATTTCTCCTAACCTGTTGCACCTTGTCCTGCAGGCCAGAGCAGTGTTGGTTTTCTCTTAATTTGAATCTGACTCTAGCCATGTGTGATAGCTGTCAGTCTGGGAGTATCAGAATGGATCTGGAGGGAGAAGGGTATTGTCAATGTCTTTGGGTATCTGGTCTTAAAGATTTTATTTTTTCCTCCATGTGTTGGGCCCCACATAAATAGCTGTTTGGCAGTGGCATATCTAGAGACCGTGATGTCATCAAGCTTTCTTTTGGGGAAGGAATAAAGCCACATTCTTCTTGGTGATGGCCACCAGATTTGGAGAGGACTACAATCTACAGTTTTAGACTGTACTTCTGGGAAGATCATTCATTTATGTTTCCCACAAATTATTTATTGAGTATCTCCTATGTTCTAGGTACTCTGCTAGGCACAATGGATGCCAAGAAGGAAGACTAAACTATATAGCTTCTGCCTTTTGAAGAGCTCACAGTCTAATAAGAGGCTGTTGTAGGGTGAATTATGTTCTTCAAAATTTACATATTGAAGTCCTAATCACCAGTACCTCAAAATGCAACTATATTTGGCGACAGGGTTTTTAAAGAGATAATTAAGTTAAAATAAGGTGATTACTGTGAGTCTTAATCCAGTATGACTGTGCTCATAAGAACAGGAAATTTGGACACAGGCATGTATAGGGGGAGAAGGCCATTTGAACATGAAGATAGCCATCTGTATACAAGCCAAGGAGAGAGGCCTCAGAAGAAACCAACTCTGGGGACACCTTGATTTTGCACTTCTAGCTTCTAGAACTTTGAGAAAATAAATTTCTGCTGTTAAAGCCATCCAGTCTGTAGTACTTTGTTATGGCAGCCCTAACAAGCTGAAGCCAATAGGCAAACAAACAAATAAACAAACAAACAAACAAAAAGAACAACTCCCCAAAACAAAAGAACAGTGTCAGTTCTTTGACTGTGGAAGTAGATCTTGGGCTCTTTAACAATTTAGAAGGTATTGGTATTTTAGCAGTCTTCTGGCCTGTGGCACATGACAAGAACTTACCTATATGTTTTCATTCAACAGACATTTATTGAGCAATTAGTATATGCTGGTCTTAGGGTGCTAGTTGCCCATATGCTTGGTACATGCATAGATAAGATCCAGATCTAGAAGCTTGTGTCTAGTGAGTGGAGATGGATATGAAAAGAAATAAATTCAATAAAGGGTGTTAGAGGTACTAAAAACATACTGGAGCTATAAGGTGGGAGGTATCAAATCTACCTAATGAGTACAGGAAAAGCTTCCTGAAGAAGGGATTTGAGCTGAATCTGAAAAGATGAGCGGGTACTTGCTCAGTAACAAATTGGGGAAGGTTGTCCTAGGGAGTAAGGACAGAATGAGCAAAGGTACAGAGGTATAGAATAGCATCACGTATTTGGGATGTTGGCCATGTAGGCCAGTGTGTTGGGAATAGAGGTTATAGGTTATAGGTGATAGTGGTGCAAGATATGAAGCTTGAGAGTCAGTAGTGACCAAATTATCAAGGACCTTGTATATGAAGATGAAGAGTAGTCAGTGGAAAACAAATGAAGGGGGTTAAGCAGGGGAGTAACATGATGAGTCTTGGATCTTAGAAAGGTATTTCGTGGATTTTTTTTTGTGTGTGTAAATAAAATTGTATATTTGGAATTAACCATCTGGACTCAAGTTTAGATGATCCCAATTTTGTTGGCAACGTCCAAAGCATCATAATCAGGAGCCAGTCGAACATACGCTTTCTTCTCTCCATCAGCCCTGATCAGGTGTTGACCTTGGCCACATCAGTGTCACAGAGCTTCTTCACAGCCTGTTTGATCTGGTGCTTGTTGGCCTTGACGTCCACAATGAACACAAGTGTGGTGTTGTCTTCTGTCTTCTTCACGGCAGGTGCAGTGGTGAGGGGGAACTTGACGATGGCACAGTGGTCAAGCTTGTTTCTCCTGGGGGTGCTCTTCTAGGATATTTGGGTTGCCTCTGGAGCCACAGTGTCTTGGGCTGCCAGAGGTGGGTGATGTGCGGATCTTCTTCTTTTTGGTGGCTTTGGACACCTTTCAGCACTGCCTTCTTGGCCTTCAAATCTTTTGCTTTGGCTTCGGCTTTGGCAAGGGCAGGAGCTTCCTTCTTCACCTTC